ACCTCTGGAGTGTATTGGGAAAGATTAATTTCTGTTCCTCCCTCAAAAATGAATTTATTCCTTATTAGGCTGAATTAAAATAAGGACTTCAGTGAATTTCCTAAACATTGAACAAGCATTGCTAACAATGCCCTTATCTGACAAACGTCTTGAAAAAGGAATTAATTCCGTCTTTTTTTTATTGACAGATTTTACTATTATTGTTAGGGTAATCTACTTTGCTTTTGGTTCTTATAATAGATTATACAATCTATACACCTCATCAAGGTTGCTATGGATAAAGCTGCGCTGCCATTTCCTTTATAAACTCATTCATCTGTTATAATATTGGATTAAAACAATTTTAATATGGAGAAATTTAAACAAAGCATCAGAGATTTAAGTATTCAGCACTTTAATGTTCAGGATGAAACATACAGAAATTTGAAAGATACAACAGTCTCTATTCTTTTATTCATCTTACTGAGATTGGAAGAAAAAAAGGATGCTATTAGTCTCAGATTGTAATTTCCTGCCTTTTTCTGGCTTATATATACATATATATACATACATACATACATACATATATATATATATATATATATATATGTATAACAACATTATATATGATGTCATTGTTGATACACACACACACATACAGGAAAAAGGCAAAAATACACACACACACATCAATTAGAGTTTTCTTGGTTTCCTTTATTTTCACCTTAATGAGAAATAAATGCAAAAAACTAATCCAACATTAAATTTGTACAGTTCAAAGAAAAAGGGTGAAAAGAAAAAAACCCAACATTATTAAAGTATTAAAGGTATAGTCACAAAAGAAAGAACAACCTTAAGGCAATTTTTAAAAAGCACTGGTGACCTCCATATTTTGGATTTAAAATACATTTTTGCTTGTTTTCTTGTATTATATGTTCAATTTTCGCCTCATTTATTTCTTAAAAGACAACTATAGCCACTTAAAGAAACGATAGGATGATGAATCTTACTGTATTTACCATAACCCAAGGTGACTTTAAATTTAAGATGACCCCCCAAATACTTAACTAGTGGTGGCCTTAGGGTTATAGTTTCATAATTGGTAGGGTCGGAAGGGACCTGAGCACATCATCAAGTTTGACCCCTGTTATGGCAGGAAAGAGTACTGGGGTCAAATGAGCCCAGAAAGGTGTTCATCTAGCCTCCTCTTAAAGACCCCCAGGGTAGAAGCCAACACCACTTCTCTTGGAAGTTGGTTCCAGATCCTAGCCACCCTGACTGTGAAGTAGCGCCTCCTGATATCTAGTCTAAATCTACCCTCTGCCAGCTTGTAACTATTATTTCTTGTCACTCCTGGTAGTGCTCGGGGACACAGGGACTCCCCCAATGCCTGCTGGTCCCCCTGACCAGTTTGTAAATGGCTGCTAGGCCCCCCTCAGCCTTCTCTTGTGGAGGCTGAACAGGTTCAGGTCCCTTAGCCTCTCCTCTTAGGGCCTGCCCTGCTGCCCCCTGATCACGCGAGTGGCCCTCCTCTGGACCCTCTCCATGTTGTCCACATCCCGCCTGAAGTGCGGCGTCCAGAACTGGGTTGTTGGGGCCCTGGGCAAGAGAGGCATTTGGGACCCCTTAGAAGCTTAATTTTGATGACCTATAAGTAAGTTGGACATTTTTTTATTTCAATTTCACTTTGCCCTATCCATGAAACTGCAATGAAAGTATCTTAATACAATACTGATAGTACAAACATTCAGTGTAATCAATTTTTATTTTTATAAAGTGTGGGGCCCTGGGCAGTCACCTGGTTTACCCTCCCCTAAGGCCGCTACTGACTTAAGATTCTAGACATGAAAATTATAAATATATTATAATTTATACATTTATAATTTTCCTTGTATAGAATCTTGTTATTGGAGGGTCATCTTAAATTCATTCCCACCACAGCTGTGGCATGGACAGTAGCAGCGAGGGGTGAAGGGCCAGACCCCCACCCTTTGCACCTCCTGCCTGCCCCCCTGGCCCTTTCTCCCCCAGGCTTGTGCCTGAACCCCAGCTGCCTGTCCCCTGGCCACTTTCTCCCTATTCCTTTTGCCTCCACGTTCAGTCCCCCATGCCTGTGCCTGCCCTTCTGTTGCCTGCCTTTCTTGTTTGCCGCACAAACTCCCTACTCGCTCCCCTGCCACAGCTGTCCCCCAATAGCCACTTACCTTCTCTTCTCTGACTCCAGGGGAGTCAGCAGTGGTGGCAGCCCTGGCTCCAGCCCATGCCAGGCAGGGAGGAGTAGTGGTGGAAGCTCTGGACCTGGGTGGGTTGGGTGCAGAGCCCAGCCAGAACTGAAGGTAAGCAGTTGGGGAGGGGGTGTGTAGAGCGGAGAAATGTGGCGGGGTCAGGCAGTTGGTATGGGCAGGATGTGCAGTCTTCCCCCTGTGCTCCCCTCCCCTATACCATGTGGTTTCCCCTGTTCTTCCCCTTGCTGTGCACCCTCTGCATACTGCATAAGCCATCCTGGCCTGGGGCAGGTAGTAGCTCAAGTGTAGCTTTGCCCCAGAGCTGAATTGCTGTCTTACCTGGGCTGGTACACAAATCTAAGATGAGGCAAAAGACTTTCTTAAATATTCATCATCCCTTCAACTAGCCTTCAAGGTAAGACATCTACCCATGGAACACCATTTTCCTTCCCTACTCCCCTAACAAACCAAACTTAACATTTATTATATATAAAACCAAAAGACTTTCAAACCTTCTTTATAAATCATAAAGCAACAAAACAACCCACATCCCTATTTTTTTCTCCCTTGCAGGTCACCCTATAGTCTTCATCCAAATATATAAACATAAAATACATTGGGTGGATGACGAATCCTTTTTATTTCTCAATCTGCTCTCAGAGTTTAATATTATACACCATATGGCCACAAACATAACAACTGATGTTTTCAAAAAAGTCATTTAATGGCAGTGGCAAACAGCTTCACTAACTAGTGAAGCTGCTGAAGAACAGGTGGAAAATTCAGAAAGACAATTTCCATGAAACAGAAAACCCTCAAACCAATTACAAAAAAAAATAAAAAAAATAATGCAAATTCCATCCATATTTTGCATTGCGTTTGAGACTTACAAAAACTGTAGTCACAGAGAACATTACACTTCTCTGTGTTTAACCTCTGTTTTCTTATTGTTGCTACTCAGTCACTGTTGTAAACAACCTGAATTACAGATTATGTTCCCAACAAATCATATATTTTGGAGACTAGGAGGTATTCGGGGCAAAAATTACTCTTTCAAACACTATCCTGTTTCCCCTATTGCTCTTCTTGGTCTGGACTTCCTAGCTGTATAAGTTATCTCTAAGAAAGAGATCACCTTGATTCCACACTGTCTTCTTTCCATCTCTCTACACCAGGAAATCTATCACAGTTTTGCAACATTTTCCATAAATGCCCTTACTCTGACTCCACCTTTGCTGCAATCCCCACCCATCCCTTTTCACTGTGACTGTTGTAGATCTTTGCTCTAGGGTTTCTTCAAGCCTCAGATTTCTGTATTCCAGTGTTCATCATACTGCTGCTGATAGCTTTCCTCAGACATAAAACAGCATGCAAGACATCCTCATTGCCAAACACTGCCAGATACTGTTCCATGTTTCCCTCCCACTTAGTTTTTCACATGCTATGCTAATTTGCTCCGCCCCTAACTTGAACATATATCAGGGTTTGGCAATATATGGCCCGCAGGCCGGATCTGGCCCACCAGGCCATTCTATTCAGTCCAGGGGGCCCCTAAAACATTTAGAACATTTTATATTTATGTGCATCTGGCTTCCTGTCAAAGATGACAGGAGCCAGGGGCAGTAGGACCTGGGGGGAGCCATCAGGACAGAGTGGTCCCTAGCTGCCTGCCAGCTGCTCCAGCCCCATGCGGCCCCCAGCTGCATTGTGGGACAGTGGGAGCATGGGGCCCATGCCGGTACCCCAGGGCCAGGAGTGGGAGGATGTGTGTGGGTGTGTGCATGCGTGTGCGTGCACGTGTATGCATACAGTGAGGGAGGGACAGTGTGTGTGTGTGTGTGTGTGTGTGTGTGTGTGTGTGTGTGTGTGTGCGAGCACAGTGAGAGAGGAACAGAATATGTATGTATGTTCATAAGGTGAGTACCACACACACACCCCCCCCACCATACACATGAACCCACGCACCCCCTCGCACTGATTTACACACAGAACCCCACACCCACACCTCCTCACACAGCCCAGCCACCCTCCCCTCACACAGAACCCCCCCACAAACCCCATATTCACCCATACCTCACATATCTCCCCACCCACACCCCCACCTATCTACCCCCTACAAAACCACATGCACACACCCACACCATCCCAAATCAGGACAAAATTATTTTTTGAAATCAAATTAATGAATGTTGTAGATGTTTGAATAAAATTTGGGTAATAATATTCTAATATAATATTTAGAATATAATTTGGTATTTTTATGGTCCTGAGATGGCAAAATCCCTTGCTGAAAGGAGTATTTTCGAGGGCAAGGGGAGGGACTTCTGGTGGCAAAGGTCAGGAGTTAGGGGCCAGGACTTCTGGTCACAAGATGGCGACCAGGGGGTGGGACACCTGTCAAGGGGCGGGACTACCCATGCAGACCACAACAGCTTGCCAAAACTCCATAAGCAGACCTCCACTTGAAATAATTGCCCACCTCTGGCATATGTACATACCCTAAGTCTTTAACTCATGGAGCTACACAATTGTTCACAAGACTCAACTGTTTAGGATCCTAACACAAAAAGGTACATACTGAGAGAGAAACCATCAAAAGGTACACGGGTTAGTACACCCTAATGACAATGAAACTATACAAAATAAAGTTGCAGGATGTGAGATTAAGGTGTATGGCCCAAACAGGAGACATTAGCACTATGGCTTAGCTATCTGAATTTATGGTTTGGTGATCATCAAAACCCATTGGTCACTGTTTCTCATCATGAGTGAAAATATTTTATTTTAAAATCTTACCCGTGCTTTTTGCTCCATTTCCATCATTAGTCTTTCATGTTGCTCTGCTATCGCCAGCGTTGCAGAATGGACTTTCTGGTATATCATCTCACCTTCCCTTGTCTGAAATGTGAACAGCCCTTCTCCTGTGTCACACATCCTAGTATCAGATTGAAAAGAGAGCAGAAGGAAAATACAATCTGAGGACTTTTTATAACACTTGGGTAAAAATTTAAATGCTCATCCTCCTGTTAGAAATGTTATCACAGTGTTCACAGTTAAATGTATGGCATTTTCAGCCTCTGCATGGCTACTTCTACCAGTGACGAAAGACATATTCTAAGGGCCTCATTGCACAGGACATTTAACACATGATTTATCTGAGACTGTAATAAGCATTACTGTGACATATTAAAAGTTTGAATGTGTTCTGAGTAGTCACATGGTAATGCTTACTACAATCTCAGTCTGCTCTGGGCAGGTTTGGAGCCAGCTGTGCTCCCCCACCCCTGACGTTGACCCCAGCAACACATGATGCAGCTTGAATGACTGCTTGTGAGCATGTGCAACCCCACAGCTGAAGCTCATGCCCTCCCCTGTGCATGCCCAGCACTACCCAGTCCAGGAGCACCTGCCTTTGACATGCTGGGGCAAGCTGGGTTTCTGCCACGGACAGCAGGTGGAGGGAGGCGTGGGGAACCAAGCCTGGGAGAGGCTCCTGCCACTGGATCAGCACCTGCTTCAGGATCCGTGGGCAAGCTGAGTCTGCTGCTCGCAGCCTTAAACCATCTCCTGTGCTGTGCTGGAGCCAACAATCAATTGTCAGTCCCAACCCTGGCACCTCACTGGAGTCTTGGATTTGTATGGTCTCCCTGGAGCAATCTAACAATAGCTGAATAAGTATTACTTAATATGATCTACAGATACTCCTTCCACGAAAAGTCATAACTTTGTTACAATATGATCACACTTGGCATGTATTTTACTGTTTGAACATAAAGATACTCACTCACATTTTAATTGCAGTTAACACATCTTAAGCATAACATAAAACATGGCTCTAAGAACCATGTGAATGTGTGACTTTTGTCAATGTAACCTTTATATTGAGATTTCACCTTTTTGTAAAAAAAGAAAAAGCATGGGCATCTTGCTATAAAATAAGAAACCCATGATAATGCAGCTATTTCTCGCATTGCCTCAGATACTGGTGACTAGGAATTTCAGTTAGTACTCTTGGCCACTTAATTGGTGCAAAATGTTCAAGGGACATCATGCTTTTGAAGTGTTCACATTTTAATAGAACACTGGTACCTCAACCAGGTTCACACTGCAAGATGCTATATTGAGAGCTGGCATTAAAAGGGATACTGCTCATATTGATTAAATACATTTGCACTAGCTTCTGTTGTCATTCAGGATAAGTATATATTCCACACATGAAAATAATTTCTATTATAACATGAGTAAAATGATGCAAACTATAATGTAAAAAAGTGTTCTTTCTTAGTTAGGCTAGTTGCTTTGCTGTCTCTCTCAGACTTTCTAGTGATCTTGCAATGAACATAAAGGTGTGTTAGTTAAGATGAATGAATGAGCCAAGAATGTTTTCAAATCTGAATAACATCCAAGGCTCCTACAATCTTGCATGCATCTCCATTAAAGACCAACATCTGAGTAGTTAGATGTCCAACTCTGCTATGTGCATGCAAAAATCTGTTCCTGAAGGATTGTGTGCACAATTTTACAGGCCAAATTGAAAACCCTTTGCTAATTTGGTCCCATATTATCAATTAAGAAATTTAGTATGATTGAAAAAGTATTTGATTTTCTCAAACTCTTAGAAATATGACTAATGAATATTTTCTCTTAGACTTAGTAAAACTGAGGTTTTCAAAATAGACTAATGGTTTTGGTTGCCTAAATATTTTGATAACCAGTTCAAATCAGACAAAGTTTATTGAATGCCTCCAGGACACTAATTACATTTTGTAAAATTGCATTTTATATAGGTACAATTGTCACAAAATTCAATATCCAAAGAGAAAAGCAGGCAAAATATACGAGAGGCTACTTGGAAGTATAAATGTTTGCTAACATTCAATTATGTACAGTAGAAAAATCACATCCTTTAGAATAGTCCAGAATCACTGTAATATACTGTAGATAACACCAGGTCCAAAACCAAGCCAACCAAGCAAACACATAAAAAACCAAACCAAACCAAACCAAAGAGGCATTCAGATAAGGCTCAGTAGAAGGGTATTAAGAAGCTTGATTCAATGTGTTAATTTGAAAGTAATAAAAATGAGAATATTTGTAATAAATTGCATCAGTGAACAAGTTCTTTATATAAACTAGAGGTGCACCAATATATCAGTAAATATTGGCTCAGGACCAATAAAAGGAAAATTAACATTATCAGCAATTGGCTTTTTATGGCTGGTGTAGCCTATAACATCACCAATAAATGCCGCATGCCTGCACGCAGCCGCAGCATGCATGAGGCCAGGAATCCAGCCAGAGAGCTTGGAGAGCAGCATCCAGCCCACAGCAGGCAGCCCACCCTCGCCTCGCACACAAATCCAGGGGGGCACATGCCTCCACACCTCCTCCAGGGGTCTGTACAGTGGCGGGGAGCTGCCTCCCCACCCCCTTGCACCCCCTAGATGAGCTGCTCGTGGGTCTGTCCTGCTCCTGGGGTCGCATTCACAGCCCTGACTGGACAGTGCCTGCTCCTGCCCCACTCCCTCCATCACCATGGGGGCCTTGATCTGTGCCCCCATGCCCCTTCCCTCCCCCACAATCCTTCACCTCCACAGACTTACTGGCCAGATGCTGCTCTCCAAGCCACTGGACTGCATATTGGCTATTGGATTGGTATCAACCAATATGGCTGGTTAATAATCAGACATTAGTATCAGCCAAAAAAATATTAGTGCACCCCTAATATAAACATTGAAAAATGTTTAAATACTTAGCCACAGTTCTCCAAAAAGCTTCTAGTAGAAATGAAATGTCTCAAGAGTTTTGAGATATTATAACAACAGTTTAGATCCCTTAAGGCATTGTACAGCTGGCACTCATTTTTTGTGCAAAGAGATCTTAATAAAATGCAACTAGCATGAAATGGAAAGTCTGGAAAATTGATGAGTTTCATGAACTAGAGCAAAGTATGATTTCTGTATTGGTTTCAGATGAGGGGGAAAAGTCTAATAGGGATAACAACAAGGAAAGAATCAGGAGGTTTGATTAAGATTCAAGAGGTAAGCTGCTTATTTTAACAAAGGAAAAAAAATCACCAGCCAGTGCAGATATAATTGTATTTTATATCCTTACTATTAAACTGAAACTGAAATGGAGGATAACATCTTGAAGGTTGTGTCTTCCAGTTGGAATAGGAAAGTATAGCCTAAGATGTATAATGTCAACATCGGAAAGCTACTTATGGCAGCTATCCAGTACACATACTGGTTGTTTTCCTGACTAAGAAGTTATTATGAATAGAGATGCTCAGAAGCAAAGGAGAAAACATTATGGGCATCTTTCTAAAGAGCTCAGCTCCCTCAACTCCCTTTGAAGTCAATGGTAATTAAAAGCTCTCAACAGCTAGTAGGAAGCACTTAGCATTGTGTAGAACTGAATCCTATAAAAAGAAAATTATTGTTTGGAAATAACTTGTGGAATAAAGCTCCCTTTCTTCCATATAGGATTATTATTGACACTTATTCTGCCAAAGAGGCACTCACTGTCTTAACTCCAAGACAAGGTTCTTCTTCCCTATTCCACATAGGGAAAAGGAAGCCTTAGCTTAGAATCGAGTATTAAGTAAAAATACAGTGCCTACAGATAGAAGAGGTGGGAGGAATCCATTAAGCAGTGAGACCCAGCACAGAACCAGGACCTAATGTGAGACCCAGAAGACAGTCAGAGAGTTGTAAAGGTTCCCACACAGAGACAGAGAGAACATGGGACATAAGTTAGAACCAGGAAACAGCACGAGATCCAGCACAGAGCCAAGGAGCAACTCGGGACCCAGGGGGAAGCCAGGGAGTGGCAAGAGATCCAGTGTGGAGCTGGAGTGGGGAACACATTGCAGCTTGGGACCCAGCACAGGGGCACCTCTCAGTACAGCATGAAGTGGTCAAGGCCTGGAAGGCCAGGCACTGTTGGATGGCAAGTAACAGGGGTGACCAGCAGTGGTGGGGGCAAGTAGCTGTGGGACAGCCATTTTGGGGGGAGGAGGAAGTTGCGAGGAGGGCAAAGTACATGGGGGCCAGAAGTCAGGAGAGGCTGCCTGCCCCCGCCACAGCCATCTGTCTCCCTACTGCTTGCTCTCCTGCTGCTGCTTTCCCTGTGAAAGTGGTGGTGGGGAAGTGGGTGCAAATTTAAGATGGTGCTCAAATACTTTGATTACATACATAGAAAATCATAACAAATTTATCATTTTCCATGCACAGAATCAATTGGGGTGGGGGGGCTGTCTTAAATTTGAAGTAATCTTGGATTCAGGTAAATACAGTAAGTCCATTCTGGGGAGAGTATATAACAGACTTCTTGCTCAGTTTTCTGGAATATTATGTTTTAGAAGACAATTCTAATTACTTTCATGTTTCACTCTGCTAGCAAGTGGTTAGTATTAAGTGTTTAAACACAATGACATGTATGAAGGCACTTTATTAGCGAAAGTCATGCAACTTGACCCAAAAAGAGATGTAAAGAGGATTACTGAGCCAAAGTGACTTGCTACATATTTTGGGGAGAGATTCTATCCTGGGGGAGGAGAAGATAAGGAGGAGATGGGTACTCTTCCCTCCCAGCTGGTTTGCTTCAGGAATTATGCTGGAAAAGGGCAGTAAATGGACTGCATTGCCACATACCTAGCTGATCTATTTACATACCCCAATCATTACTGACAAGGATGTAATGCCTTCTATAAACTCCATCATTCCCTAGTGCTATATACCTGCATATAATTCCTATACATTTGATGTTGCGCTGGTCCACAAAGTCCTGTCACTTTTCAAGGCTTCCCCGGACATTGTATGATGCACCTTGGTTTACACTTGTAAAATCTAGCACAAAGGGAGATGAATCAAGTACTCATTACAAATTCTATTTAAGGGTAAAGCAAAGATTCTTTAAAAAAAAGATTGGTAA